TTGCACCACTTCGGAGCAGTTGAGATATGTTGCGCGTCTCAACCCTTGGTCTCCCTCTATTCTAGCGCGCTGCGGCTTTCCTCCTATCATTTGGTCTGCTTTGCTATGACATTCCGATCATGGAAATGATTGGAAACGACCATGGTTCCGGTATGGTCCAAGTATGCTCGCTAGTTTAGCGAAATTTCAAAGTGAGGAAAACTGGTACTCTCGCGTCCATTACTGCGTATTTCTTGGCTACACACCACATCAAAAGGTATTTTTGACATCCACTGCAGTGAAAATGATCGAAAATCCCTTTTTCACTGTCACACGTCCTTTTGATCGGAATTTTGCCACAATATCCGCCATCAATATCAGCGACTTGTTGTCAACGGTTCACAGGAGAGGTGATGCCGCTTCTGAAAGGTTGGTAGTTCCGGTGTGAAAAAGAGCAGTGAGGTCGACTTTGAGCTTCTTCTTTGATTCGTATTTCATCTCCATAAGATGATTCTTCAGCAAGAAAGATGGGAAGCCTTCGGAAGGAGGCTGATCACAGCTCAAGGAAGATCCGTAAGGAGTTCCCAACTGGATTTCGAGATTCAAAGTTCCGTCTTTTTTTCGAACACCTGGTCTCGGTTGCCGTGGATTACATATATTGTTGGATTTGGGGCGGGTTACTTAAAGTCTCCAGCCGGCATTGACTACAGGAAACGTGGCTTCTTTCAACGTCGAATCTAGGAAGATGTTTTGGACGCTAATTTTAAATGTCTCTAAAACAGCCTAAGACCAGAAAAGAGTAGGTAAAAGTGTGCGTAGAGTTGCCTGTTCGAATTAGGGAGGCCCACCTGCGGTGATTTTGGTATTTCTAAAAAAGGACTAATTTTTTCGATAACAAAAATCGTAAGTTGGTAAAAGAAAGCAACGTCTACGGTGCTTCCAGCATTCTTGAAGGAGCGGGGCTCTCTTACGTGGGCGAAGCCTAGCCTTGAATCCAGTAAGAGTCGGGGTATCGTCCCAAAAGTCAGTCCTTTCCGAAGTGAGAAAAAGGGGTCCTCAAGGGCGAGGCACAAAAGTGTTACTCGACTCAAATGTTTGAGGCAACAGCGCTAAAGCCTTGCCTTGGTGCTGCCGCGCTGCCATCCTTAGCAACCACGGCATACGCGGTCTCTGCCCCCTCTCGCATAAGACTTGCTGTCTGGCGTTCTCTTCTCCACGTAGTGTTGTACCTCTTCATACCACGGCAGGCCCCATGCGGAAATTTAGTGTTTATGGTGCTTTTGCGTTTTCCCCCGCTGATGCTCCTCATAACCAATTCAAACCAAATACCTCATCAACTCGATCTCGACTCGTAGCTTTAAGTAGACCATATTCTCCACAAACCCTCGTTATTAACTATTCACTTTTCAGAGCATGGGAAAAAGTGGATAGAAGTTGGCGGAGAAGCGTCGTCAACCACTGTTGCATTAAGGTGGGCGTCTCACTAAAATGCCATAGCTCGGCCGAGAAGTTACAGAAACCAGAAGCAAGTGGATGGAGGCAAAGCAAAGAAAGATATTTCGAGTGCTACCAGTGTGTAGGTGTGCATGCAAGAGGGAGAGTTTCTTTCGAAACATCATAATTCAGTTCTGGGAAGTACTGAAGGCCGGAATGAGAGGCAGAAATTGTTGGACTTTCTTAGGGGATGAAAAGTGCTCAGAACTGAGATAAATTCCTTATAAACCTTCTTTCTCGAGGTGGGATCGAGAACGTTGACAGCCTTGAAAACAATAAAGGACGCTGTAAGTGGAAAACAATGACCACCATCTCCTCAATCAATTCATATCATAGTAATTTGCTCAGAAGTGATGGAAGGCTGCCTTCTGTGGAATGAATCCGGAAATTGACTCAGAATCGTGTGTATCGCTACCGTTATCATCTTGTCATTACTATATCTAGCAATACGTAACTATAAAATTGATTTTGTGCTATGTATCTTTGTGATATTACACTCAACATTTCCTGTCAAATGCAGATCACTAAAACCTGAAAAGCTGTCTTCATGTGTCCCCTTTCGTTGCAATGTGGAACCCTGGTTAGGATATGTTCACTTATTCCAAATTCAGAGGCCAACCCCTTGCAAGTGCTCCATAATATTTCAGTGCTCATACATTGTGCATTGTGGCTATCGAAGAATACATTGTGCATGAGAAAGCATGCGGTTGATTGCATTCGCAACTAAAAGCACTGCCCACTGAGCAACAGCATTACTTCACAAGAGTAACAACTCGCTGATAGATGGGGTATGTCGGGGAGAAGGGAATCCTATGCCGAGAGCTTGGCGAAGTATCACACCCATAGCTCTGGCTGAAAGTTATTTCCACAAAACATGTACTTTGTTATTGGACGCCTTTCTGGGACGATTTCTGATGTGCAGAACACGTAACGTTTTCCAAGCCACACAGAATTCATTTATGAGCAACTAACATCTAGCTTCGCCTACCGGTGATAAAGTACATACACAGGATAATGCTGGATATAAAAGTTCAGGACTGAGTGCGCCCTTGACACCCGTCTGTTTGCCTTTACTCATTGGCTATACACCGACAACCATTAAGGATGCAACTGATTGTTTTGGCCGTCGTGTTCTGGGTGGCACACACAAAAATGTGCCATGAAGTTACAGGCCGCCGGTTTGAAGAGCTTGATAATGCTACTCAAACCCTTCTCAAAGAAGAGTTCAAAGAAAAGACATTTGTACGTGTTCTCACAAATGTTAGGTTTCGTGAAAAATAGTATGCTTCCAACAGTTATATGGAATATGTTGCAGGATCCCAAGGATTACGTCCAGTCATATCAACTGTTTACGCGCGATTGCTTAACAAGACAAACTCACTTCGTCAATGGCGTTTTTCACAGAAGGGTTCGTTGCATTTTCCTACATGTGACATGAAATTTTAGTAGCGTACAGTACCTTTACTCTTATTGTCATGGATCTCTTCCAGTCAAAAGTGTGAGCGATGAAGCTTGATAGGTTCCCCATTAAGAACAACCACACGCTTACCGCCTACGTCATCACTGTACGGAATGGAACGGAACGGGCTTTCTCGAAATTGCGTCCAAACGGATTCTATGGTAATTTGTACAAGGATAATTGTGACGAGCTGACTTATTTATCTTCATAAATGTACAACATTTGTGAAAAAAACTTCTTGAATAAATTTTAACCGTCGGCGTATTTTCTTGGCAGTAGTTTTATACAGCACTTATACTTCATGCAGAGTTACAGATTTACTATGAATAGTATCGAAAATTAAATAATTGAATGCCTCAAAAATTGAAAGGTTGTAGATCTCTCCTCTCAGGTGTGACGCCCATAATGATCTACTTCAACCTTCTACCCCCAGGCAGGGTCAACCCTATGTTGCGACAAGTACCAAAAAGGGGTCGTGTTTGGTTCAGCTTGTAGGGGGTTCGTACTGTCTCGGTGGTCGGCAGTGGGAACAGAGCCCTTTACATCGCACAGACCCAGCCATAAAAGGGAGATCTGCAGAAATAGCAGCAGCAGGACTTGTAGCACTGTTCGAAAAAAGTGCTCTCACCATGACATGGATCCAGCCGAAAGCACATATGAAACTAAAGTGGAGAATGCTTGAGACAACATGGTTATAGCCAGCACGTTACGTTTACGCAAGATGATTGATACTAGAGCATCTATAAACCCCTTCCTTCTGAATGAGCTTTCAAATGAATCAGCGAATTAGAAGGCGCCCGAGGCGTGGCGCACACCAAGGCAGGGGATGTCAGTGCAAGCGCATGCTCGAAGCTTTCTAACACATCCTATGTTCAACACGAAATTGCTTTCCCTGGAGTTACGGCCAGTGAAACCTAAAAAAAACCGCGTTTTCAAGAAAATGGCTTGAAGAATGCCCCTCAAAAAAAGTAACAACGGGACTAATTTTTGAACTGCTGACTTTTCAAGAACGTTCGGAGACTTTTTAGAAATTTTTGACTTGTTTTTGTTTGTTAACTGCTGTTTTTGGCCGCAGTTCGCCTTGCGAATGTTTCACAAGAATGCT